AAAAAGGTAAGTATAAAGATTAAAAATGTACTTTGGGACTCCCCCCCCATTTTAATCTATGCATTAAAATTTAAACTCTTTGTAGTTACCATTTGGTAGAAAGCAAGCCGTGATAAAGTATTAAAATATTATTTATAGAGAGTGAGAGGCAACAGTATTTTTTAGGAGTCTTTTACATGAGAAAACTAAAGGCTAAAATTATTTTTGCAGAGTTCTCTTTTAATTTGTATTTAACCTTTATACACAAACAAAATATAGTAAAACAAAAACAAAAAACCAACCTTTGCTAATCAAGAATAGAAAACTGGCAGGCAATGTACTCTCTTATAGTATTGTTAAAAATTGCTGTCTGTTGTGGGGATATTTAATAGTGGGGATCAAACTCAGGGCATCCTACCACTGAGCTACATCCCAGCCCCAAAAACTGCTCAGTTTGATGACAAGTCATTTTTAACTCCTACAGAATGCTGATTAAATTTGCAAACCATACAAGCCACGATGCAGGAGCTTAAGGTTTGTTAGTCTTGGCTTGTTTCTTTTAATAGCACTGCAGTTGATAGTCTATCCAGTGATAAGCAATTATTATACTCAGCTTTCAAATCTTTGCCTCCTCTGAATTTTAAATTTGAAAAGGGAAAACAGCAGGTAATTTAATCTCTCATTTGGAAGAAAATGCATATGAGAGGTTTCTAACATACAATTCCAACCAGTGGATGGAATTACAGTATATTCCATTGCTGTTTATTACAGTAAATTAGAAACATTTATTCCTTCCAATTAAAACAATGTACACCCCTTAAAATTTCCAGTTTTTCCTTCGAGTCCTCTCATCTCTGAATCCAAACCCTCCAGCTATGACATGGTTTGGGGTGTCTTGCTAACCTGGCCTTCCCTACTTGCATGCATTGTATGTCCCCACGCTCGGGCTTGTACCAGTCAATGTTTGTGCATTCCTCATGTACCTTATTTTCTTTGCCACTCTGGCACTGACCTCTCAGCCCACTAAGTACTATGAAATTGTGTCTGTCTTGTCTTTCTTTCTTTTAGTCTTCACACCTCCTTCTAGGCAGATCAGAGGATTGGCCTCTTATAATTGAGCAAAAGAAGGAAAGAAAAAACCTGTATCAATGAAATTAAAACTAAGCTGGGCATGGTGGTGCACACCTTTCATCCCAGCACTCTTTGGGAGGCAGAGGCAGGAGGATCACCACAAGTTAGATGCCAACCTGGGCTACATTGTGAGTTCAGACCAGCCTGAACTACAAAGTGAGACCATGTCTCAAAAAACAAAACAAAACACACCTTATTTTCAACTTACAATCATGTATTACTGTTCTAACAGATTAAGCGCATGATAAAATATCCACCCAAAACGAATTTGCTAAAATGTACAGAGTCTAGTCTTTTATTCCCACATCCCAACTCATGTTACTCATCCCTAATGAGACCACAGCTGCAGAAGTGGCAAGACCAGCAGAAAGAACATCATGACTATAATCTCTTTTATTATGCTTTTCTCATCATGATGATTTCTCATCATGCTGTATTGGTATAATTGATTTTTTTAAAAAAACTACAGTAGATTTTAGCATATTTCTCTAATTTTGATGTTTCTTAGGTTTTGCCTACAGTACATTTCGCCTACTTTTTCACTGTTGTTTTATGATACCCTAGGCAAGCTCTCTACTTCTGAGCTATGCCCCCAGCAGAGTCTGTTTTCTGAATCCTGATTTGGTTCATGTTATCAGTTATCCTGCCACTTTTAAACAGATATTCTAGTCATTAATAAAAATATTGGACAGGTTAGAGTGCTAAATTATGTAACTAAAAATCTTCTCTCCTTTAGGTTGATCTATTTACCAAAACAATTTCAATTTATTATAGACAAGAATTGATATATTTATGTTCATGTTAAACTCATTAAACAAAAATAGAGGGATGTTTTCATAACATGATAAAACATATGTGCCTTATGTGCCTTAGTCCTACAGTACCTATTTAACAGAGCAACACTAAAGACATTCCACTAAGACCAGAAACAAACACCTACTGCTTCTTCAATTAATGCATACCATATTAAGTTATCAGATAACATGATTAGATAAGAAAAAGCAATCAGAAGCAGAGGAATGTGTGGGAAAGTTGGCAGAGCTGGAAAATATCTACAGATTAATTAGCCACACTATGACTGTAATGCTAACTTCAATTGCCGTACAATGGCTGTGGGAGAGGTCACCATCACAGGAAGCTTGGTGAAGGGCATGTGTGGTGCAATCTCTACCATGGTGCTGTGCCAGTGGTCAGGGCCAGCAAAGTCTCTGCAATTGGGCTGTCCTGTGCACTGTGGCATCCTCGGCAGCGTCTTCAACTCTGTCCCTGTTGCTAGATGCCAGCAGCAACCTATCCACCCTCAAGCTGTGACAATCAAAGATGTCTCCAGACCCCACCCAGTATTCCACAGAAGGAAAAATCATCCTCAGTTGGGAAACACTGGGACTTAGGAATTTAACTATTTTGGTGAAACATTTTTAAAATGTAGAACTCTCTTAAACGATAAGTTTTTAAAACAGCCATGCTTAAGTGCAAGGAAAAGCTGTAACGACCATCATGTGATTCCATTCTTTAAAAAGTACAAAAAGTTGTAGCAAACCTTTACTTTGGGTACTTTAACAAATGCTGCAGAAGGTAAAGTTTCTAAAGCTAGAAAGCAATTTCAGAATAAGACCTTTTGACTTTAGGCAGCTTTATTTTCTAGCCTCAGTTCAGAAGAAGGGTCCTTGTGGATCTACCTCTTTGTGTTCATCGAGGCCTTCATCATCCATTTATTGGTGAGAGGATCAAACATCTCCATGCTGCCCAAGTGCTCGTTGCCATCATGTCCCCCCACTGCGTACACTTTACCTGCAAATGGACAAGCATTTTAGCTTGGTTCCAACCAACACTGATGTTATTCACACATAAACACCCATCTAGGATGCCATGACGAACCTTCAACTACTGCCATTCTGTTCAAAAGTATGATCAATGTCATTCCATCAGTCAAATGAAAACCGATGTTAAGCTTTCACTAATCACTACTCAAATATTTTATTGATAAGACGAAAAAGTATTTTACAATTTGTCAGTTTTCTTAGAAGAAATTCATCAAGTTCAAATATTTAAAAAGCACCATGATCATATAACATGGTTTTAGGCAACAGGAGACCCACCTTCCACAGAGATCACACCCACGTGTCGCCTCCGGCTGTTCATCTCTGGTCCAAAGAACCAAGTGTTTTTGCTGATGGAATAGCATTCAATACTGCGAAAGGGGTCGCCTGATCCACCTCGGCCCCCTACACAGAACAGCACACCTAGAGGGGAAGGGGCAAGATCCAAATCAACATGACAGCTTCCCAGTTTTGTAAATTAGTGTGGAAAAATTTTAGGGAGTCTGAATTTTGAGTAATAGTAAGAAAAGATGAGCTAGATATTTGATGTGGCATTACTGAAAACCTTAACCTAATGCCCTCATATGCTCTATCAGCTTTCTCTGCTTGCTGACATCCCATTATACTAAGATTTATAACCTCACCAGCTCTGTAAAACTGCTCGTGCTTAGGTCCTAACAAAACCTTTAATCAACATCATTTATTTTATAACTTCCAGTACTAGGGACTGAACATGTGCCTTCACAGAGAGCTATATCCCCAGCTCTTTTTATTTTGAGACAGGGTCTCACTGAGTTACTAACTTGCCAGTGCTGGGCTCAAATTTGTGATCCTCCCACCTAAGTCTCCCAGAGCCCTGGGATCATAGGCTTGTGCCATTGTGCCTTGCTTAATTTGTTGTGTTTTGGTTTGGTTTGGTTTAGTTTTCTGACACAAGGTTTAATTATGTAGCCAAATATGGCCTCAAAATCTGCATCAACCCTCCTGCCTCAGCTTCCCAAGTGCTGGGATTATAGGTGTATCACCAACACTCAGCTTTCTTTCCCACTGAACCCAAATGTAACAAGTGAGATGTTGATCACCCTGTATTTTTAGAAATTCGTTACTTTGATATCTATAATATCAAAGTTTCCTTTCGTCTGTTTTCTGTGTTCCATCCTTGGCCCATTTCACACATGATTTATTACACTAACATAGTAAAGATCATCCCTCTGTTTTCAATCCTATCTACATGATACTATCTTCCAATCTGTATTTCTATTTCTAAGCTATGTTTCTACTCGATGTCCTACAGGCACCTCAGAGTCAAGATGACTCTGTTACCTGCTCTGCCTCCCCAGGCTCTCTCCCTTCCCGACAGGGTGTGACCCCTGCTACCCCACCACCACACTGCCAAATGAACTAGTTGAGCTTAAAAATGCAAAGGTAGGGGCCAGAGATTTGGCTCAGTGGTTCCACTGCATGCCTCACAAGCACAAGGTCGAGTTCGATCCCTGCTACAAAAAAAAAAAAAAAAAAAAAAAAAAAAAAAAAAAAAAAAA